TCAACTGTGATCACACAGCAAACGACGGAGGATCCATCAGCAGGTGACTCTGCTGAACGAGAGTCCAGTCCAACCTCATCACGGAGGGGTGAGTCAAAAAGATTAACAAAAATATATTCTGTTTAACAAAATACCAAAGTGATGTTCTACATGTTCTCTCTGGAGGTTTTTACATTTCCGTAGGTGGCGTTCCCAGCAGAGAATTCCTTCTGTGTAGAATTCCGGGGGACTTCCTGCTTGAAGACTCGTTTCAAGGTTCCTTTTAAAAGTTTAATTTGTTGACAGTGAAAGCTCGGGTCGTAACCTCTGTCTTAGAACTTTTTGACTAGCACTTGTATTTGACTTTTCCTGTCCGAGCCGCGCACCAACTTCCCAGCTGTCTCTTCCATTCCATCCGTCCAATCAGGAAGCGGTTCCCACCAGGGACAGCGAGTAAAGGACCGTGGACCAGGACTGAAGACCAGAGTCGTGAAAACAGCACGTCTGAGTTACCAAGCTGCATGTCAGTAGTCTGGGCTCTGGCCAACAGTCAGTTACTCGGTCTGTGAGCACAGTGTTTAAACACTTACTGACACGGCGCTCCCTGTAGGTGTCCTCGCCTCCTTTTTTACAATCTATTTAAGTTTGTTCACAGCTGGGCTCCTCTTTAACAGTGTGTTTTATCTCTCCGTGGAGAATGCACCCACTGTACGAGTCCAACATCAAACAACAACGACCGAGGCCACAACAGGAGCCGGACCAACAGACGGCAGCCGAGAACTGACGCACGTGCAGGAACGTTTCCTGGATGGAATAGACCAGGCGGGGGGGGGGGGGGGGGGGGAGTTACAGGCATATGAAACAACACACGTAATGTGGGGTGAACATTACGGCTGCTGGAATATATATATATATATATATATGTACGGTATTTCATTGAAATAATATTCCAGTGCTGGGGGGCACGCTCCCAAAAAGTTGGCATCAGCGTGTTCCTCCCTACTCACCCAATAAGAACAGCAGGAAATGAAGGCAAGTCAAATATTTAATCCTCTACACTGGCTCACAGTACGCTTGAGTTCACAGATTTGGAAGATTTTGTACATAATTAACTAAAACATTGTACACCTGACCTTCTGTGCTCTCCCCAGGCTGCAGACGTTGTCATCGATCCAACTGGTGGCTCGGGGAAAGAAGAAAGTACAGAGGCTAAATCCTTTATTAGATGAAAGTGGTGATGCAGTCGATGAAGCGTGAATTAAAGTCACAGCCGTGTCCTCCACAAAGCTTTGAAAACAAAACTGATGAAGATGAAGAAGAGTTCCCTGACCCTGACCCTGACCCTGACCCTGACCCTAAAGTTCAGACCTGAGAACACAGTTCTGTTGGACTGGTTACTGTGTTCAGTTAGAGACACGCAGCATCTGTCCGTCCCTCCCTCCATCCCTCCATCTGTCCATCCATCCATCAGTCCATCTGTCCGTCCATTCATCCATCCATCAGTCCATCCGTCCGTTCTTCCATCCATCCGTCCATCTGTCCGTCCATCCATCTGTCCATCCATCCGTCCATCCATCTGTCCTGAAATGCTTCGTCGCTCCTTTAGTTTTGCGCCCTTGTCATTAAAAAGCAACAGCTTCTTTAAAGTGATTTTTATATATTTTCTCCACGTAGAGATGAACAGATAATTTAATCCTAATCCTCACTTTGTTAGCGTTCAAACCTCTTTCATTTGGAGCCTCTGGAGGTGAGACGTTTCCTCTTCAGTCCATTTTCAACTTTGTCAGTGTGAATCATGAGGAGCAGATTTGAGCGCAGTATTCACAGCAGCCACAGAGGGCGCCGTCCCAACGCTGCAGTAAAAAATCAAATCAGCAGCTAATTCTTGGCAGCCTCAGTTTGCAATGTGGCGCTCTGCTGTAAAATACTGTTTACAGCGAGGATCGGATTTTTAATATGGAAGGGATTCATGCATCGATTGTTTTCCACTGAACAAACTGCTGTGTTCATTGCAAATAATTAGTTTTCGGTCTCTGCAGCGAAAGCATGAGATTGTGTAAAAGTTTGAGTCTTGTTACCTTGACACAGGCCACCAGGGAAAAAATCCATAGTTTGTTTTTATCCTAAATTTTAGTCGCATAAACTTTTTAACAAGCAGGACAAAAAGTGTCCAAGAAACAAAGAGGTTTATTGAAAAGAGCGACTGGTAAAGAAAAGAACTTTATCTGCATATATATATGGAATATATACATATACATATATATATATATACATATATATATATATATAATTTGATTATATATATGTTAATAATAATTCAACACAGTTTGTTTTTCCCAGTCCCAGGAGAGAGAGAGCCATATATTCATGTTTCAGATGTGGATTCTGTCAGTGACGACACGTCAGGATCTTCATGAACAACTTCTCCTGGAGGTAATTTAATAAAACAGTGGCTCAAACTTGGGAAAACCAAAGTCAGGCTTAATTTAGTGACTGAAACGTGTGCTTTGTCAGACACATTTAGTTGTGCTTGGCTGGGCTGTCCCTAATTAAAGTGTTCTGCTCCACAGAGTCCCAGGCTGGTCCTGACCATGCAGAAGGACTCGTGTTCTCTCCATCCATCACATCCACTGTAATGACTTCTGTTTACAGTGGAGGAAACAGCAGCGAAGCCGCCGTCTGATTAGAACTTATTGGGGAGATAAGTCATGGGTTATTCAGGATGGCGTGTTCTGCTCCTGGCCGCACATGAATTACTTACTGTATGAAGTGTGAAAATGGAGTAGAGACACTCATGGAGGCTGACCCTGAAGTCGTTACAGCCCTGTTCAACCCACAGGCCGTTTCTCTCCAAAGTCTTCTGCTGTTAAATGTACCAGTCTGAGGAAAGTAATTACAAAATCAACGGAGGAGTGAAAATCTTTCTCCTTAAATTCAAGATTTTGCAAACTCAGAGAAAGCCTTGTGGACAAATATACATTTTTAGATTTAATATATTGATATGTTTGTACTCTGATCTGATCTATTCTATTCATTAATTTTTCCCACTTTGGTCCACAATATTTTACTCTATCGGGGTCTGTATTGGCAAGAATCTAGGGATACGATACATGTTACTATACAAGGGCAATGATACAATATATTGCCATAATGGGCAATACTACAGGAATACGTTTCATCAATTTTTATTCTATACTTTATATATATATATATATATATATATATATATAATTTTATTATATATATGTTAATAATAATTCAACACAGTTTGTTTTTCCCAGTCCCAGGAGAGAGAGAGCCATATATTCATGTTTCAGATGTGGATTCTGTCAGTGACGACACGTCAGGATCTTTATGAACAACTTCTCCTGGAGGTAATTTAATAAAACAGTGGCTCAAACTTGGGAAAACCAAAGTCAGGCTTAATTTAGTGACTGAAACGTGTGCTTTGTCAGACACATTTAGTTGTGCTTGGCTGGGCTGTCCCTAATTAAAGTGTTCTGCTCCACAGAGTCCCAGGCTGGTCCT